ATAAGAATGTATTTTCATTTTAATCCCAAATGTAGGGATATGGGGCTGTTTCAGACTGTCAACAGCAGCTGACTATGACTGGCCTAATGCTCTAGTAGAAGCATGATTTTGCCAGCTGCAGATAATTTCTGCAATTATGCGATGTTTGGATTTCTGGGAACTTTTCAGAGGGTACATAATTGCTAGGGCACCGAGACACAGGGTGGGTGGTTGTTAGTCATTTAGGGAGGTTGGTTGTGGTTTGTTAGTAGCTGTGGTCCAAGAAGAAACAAAAGGGGGGGGGGGAAGAGCAGATTCAGGGATTTTCTTAATACCTTTCTCCCTTCTATTCTTGTTTTTATCCTACCTAGTGTTAGGGGCTGAAACCAGAGTGGGGGATAAAGGGTGAGAAAAGAGGGAACCCACAAACTAGCAAAGACCAGCCACGGCGAACAATGTTCAAGGTCTGCCAGATCCCTGGGTTACAGTCCCTGACAGAACGAAGCAAGCACTTAGCAGTTGATCTGGCCTTGTAGGGTCTCCAGAGCAGATGCCCCACATGTTGCCTTGACAAAAGAGGTAGAAGCCTCAGTGTGTGTAGGAGGTTGCCAGGGCTTTGCTTTTTAGGCAGGACCCATTTCCAGGGCCTCCGGGGCACCGTAGGCAGCATGCTTTACAGACTCGAACTAGATTATACATGTTTAGAGTCCGTGTGAACTTCACACAGTATGACTTCCTTTGATCTCTTAAAATTTACATATGCTTAGTTATTGTGGGGGTCAGGTGTTGTGTAAATCACAGGACAACCTACAGGAGTCAGAGCTTTCCTTCCACCGTTTGGCTCCCAGGATGGAGCCCAGGTTGTCAGCAAGTACTTTTACCTGCTGAACATAATGCTGGCTTTCTTGTTTTGTTTTTTGTTTTGTTTTTTTGGACAAGGTGATGTAGGTGTAAGGTTATTGTGTAATTCAAATGCTGATTTCCATACCTGCCCTCTCCCCCTCCCCCCATATCTGGTTGCAAACCTTGTTCTGAGAATTTCCTGTCTCAATATTGTGTAAACATTGTTCCCCAAATGTCTCCTGATATGCTAATAAAACAGCTTACAGCCAATCACGAGGCAGGGAAAGAGTAGGGCTGGGCTTTCTGCTAGCCAGGGGAGGAGGAGTGAGAAGAGGAAGTATGGGATCTCATCCTGGTCAGATGTTCGGGAGGGACCAGAAGAGAGAGCTCAACAAAGAAGTTACAAAGTGCAAGTATCTCTGGGATGACAACAGATTAGTTTAGAGGGTTAAGAATAGAGTGATAACTGCTCAGTTTTTGTGTTGTGACACTTATTACTAAACAAAATATAAAAGAGTCTCAATTATTTGTGTGATAACCAGGTGAAGAGAGAAACTGAAAAACAAAAACAGTTTTATAAAAATAACCCTAACAGGGCTGGAGAGATGGCTCAGAGGTTAAGAGCCCTGGCTGTTCTTCCAAAGGTCCTGAGTTCAATTCCCAGTAACCATATGGTGGCTCATAGCCATCTATAATGAGATCTGGTGCCCTCTTCTGGCCTGCAGGCACAAATACAGGCAAAATACTGTAAAAAAAAAAAAATTAAAAAAAAAAAAATAACCCTAACAGGGTTTCTCGGTGTGGCCCTGTCTGTCCTGGAACTTGCTTGTAGACCAGGCTAGCCTGAAACTCAGAGATCTGCCTGCCTCTGCCTCCTGAGTTTTTAAATTAAAGGTGTGTGCCACCACAGCCCAGTTAAAAATTTGAATTTATTTATTTTTTAAGATTTATTTATTGTTTATACAGTTTTCTGCCTGCATGCCAGAAAAGGGCATCAGGTCTCATTATAGATAGTTGTGAGCTACCATGTGGTTTCTGGGATTGAACTCAGGACCTTTGGAAGAACAATCAGTGCTCTTAACCTCTGAGTCATCTCTCCAGCCCCCCTGAATTTATTTCTATTGGTGTCCCAACACATATGTCTATGTGAGGGTGTCAGGTCCCCTGGAACTAGAGTTGTAGACAGCTGTAAGTTGCCAAGTGGGTGCTGGGGATTGAACCTTGGTCCTTTGGAAATGCAGTCAATGCTCTTAATCACTGAGCCATGTCTCCAGTTCTCATGCTGGCCATTTTTTGATCAATGTCTTATGTTTTTAATCTTATCAGCATTCCCTACATACACCTCACAAATCATTTATAAGTTGATTATAAATCATTATAAATTGCAAAAGAAAATTTCTTTAGATAAAAAAACAAGTATACCAAAACTTTTGGGGGGAGATATGGGCAGAGTCTTACCACAGCTCAGGCTGTTCTAGAACTTGCTTTATATACGGGGCTGGCCTCCCTGCCTCAGTTTCCTGAGTCTGGAGCATGTGTCATTAGAGTCAGTAAACCAAAATGTATCTTTTATTCCTCTTTCTTCCTTCCTTCCCTCCCTCCTTCTCTCCCTTCCTATATGGGGGTATTGAACCCAGGGCTCACACACAGTAGACTGTAAGACCTGGGGTCTCACAGTTCAGGAGTTCAAGATCGTGCCCTTCCCAGAAACCCCCACAGACCACGACTTGATGTAAAAGCAAGAGGTTTAATTTAACCATTGCGCAATGGGGTCATCCCTGCTGGTCAGCAAAGAGTGGCACCGGGAGACAAAGACCTTAGGTTTTTAATAGAAAAATTTCGGAAAATTTGAAGTTGCAGTTTTGGCAATTTAGGATTGGATGAAGAAGCTATAAAGTAAGATAATTGGTTAGTCTTAGGTGCTTAAGCTTGGCCAGTCCTGCCAAGTGTGGATGCAGCTGCAATTGAAGGTGGGGTGGTTAGCTCATCCTTGAAGATTGGGGCTGCGGACTTTTGGCTGGAGGTCAGGAGCTACTCCGAAGAAGGATTGAGGCCATCTGAGTTGGTTGCTAAGAAACACTCTCGAAGACAAGGGTCTGGTCCTTCTTTTTGCTGAGTGAAGGTCATTGCTTGCTCGCTTTTTTTCTATCTGTCCTCACAGATAGGGTTACATTTCTCCATTCTCTGGAAAGGTACTAAGAGGCTTTAGCTTAACCTGAACCTAAAACTCAAAACTATAGGCTTTAGAAGACATACAGGTTACAAAGTTAGTCTAACCCTTTCATAGACAAGTGCTCTACCAGTTTGCTATATGCCCAGCTGGCAAGCTGCTTTTTAAAAACGTAATCTTTTAACCTAAGATAAAGAATAACAATATAACCTCCAAAACTCCCAATTTCCGCATAAATCAAGAACTCAAAAGCACTTATGTCTCAATTAAATCTAAGTTAAATCTAAGTGTGTCCCAACTTGCTTTTTAAAAAATATTTATTATGTATACAATGTTCTGTCTGCATGTGTGCCTGCACACCAGAGGACGGCATCAGATCTCATTATAGATGGTTGTGAGCCACTGTGTGGTTGCTGGGAATTGAACTCATGGACGTTCTGGAAGAGCAGCCAGTGCTTTTAACCTCTGAGCCATCTCTCCAGCCCCCAACTCACTGCCTAGACCTGAGTGGCTGACCTTAGAGGAACTCAGCCCCACAGCCAGCCCCAGGAGCTGCCTCCCAGAGAACAAGTCTGCCAAAAGGGCTGCTTAGCACCATTTTGGGGGAGGTCAATGTTCTTCAAGTCCAGAAGTGCAAGCAATGAGGGTGGGGGCTGGGGTGTAGCTGTGGCTGGTCTGCTCAGATCTACACAGCCTCAGGAGAAGGATGGGCCAGAGAGAGAGAGACCAGCCAGGGTCAGAATCCTCAAGGATGGTCAACTGCTGCTCCCAAGAAGGCAGATGAAAGCGGGCAGGCAGCCGGCTGGGCGAGGGCAGGCAGGAGCGGGAGCCAGGGAGAAAGGAGAGGAGCAGACAGCTGAAGTTCTCTGAAGACACCGCCTCAGCGAACTGCTCTGTGATCGGAAACCCTAGTGGAGCCCGGTGGCGACTGTGGCGACAAAGAGCCAAAATAATCTCGGGCTTGCTTAAGTCCTTCAATAGCTGGTTACCCTAACTTGTCTAACTTGGCATCCCCGTGACCAATATACGTCTCGGAATGTATCACCAGGTGTCCCCCAACCGTAAAGCCAGAGCCTCCAGATAACATTTGAAACTCACGGAAGAGATCCCGCTTAGGGGATGATGAACCAATTTGTCTGCATCTGCATTCTTGGCTCTGGGCACTCAGAATAAACCAGTCTTTAAGAGCACACAGTTCCTTCTTGTCACCGGTGACCTTTGGGGTCACTTGTGCGTGGTGGTTTGAATAGAAATCTCAGCGGGTTTTTTGTTGTTGTTTTGGTTTGTTGTTTGTTTGTTTTTTTCCCCCAAAGACTATGTGTATGGTGTGCCTGGGAAAGAGCAACTGGCGCCAAGGTGCGCGGTGGCTCACCTGGATCCTCTAGCGTGGCTCATGGTCAAGGTCTAGATCCTGGAATGAAACAGAGCAGAAGAAGAGCGGGTGAGGTGCAGAGGAGTTGGTAGGGGACCCTACTCCATCACAGCGCTCACTTGGGCCAATGCCGCAAGAGGCAAGTCTAACCAGAGCCCTGCTCTCCCAGGGATGGCTCCTCTGGCGCGCGGTCGCGGCTGGGCCCTGCAGTGACAAACCAGAGTGGCGCCCCACCCCGCACCCACGGCGAGGCTCCCAGGCCCCAGTTAGGACTCTCAGGGAGGCGCACTCCCTCAGCCTGGGCGCGCGGTTCCCAGCCGCCTCCGGCCTGGCTCCCAACACGAACCGGCCGCGGCGGGACGCGAGATCGAGTTTGGCGGCGACCGGCAACTGTACGGTCACGATGGAGAAACAGCGGCCAGGCCGCAGGGAGGAGCCGGCGGGGCACGGGTGGCCTGGGCAGGCGCTGCCCGAGGGCCGAGAGCGCGGGCCAGGGTGAGGAGGTCGCGGCAGGCTCCCCAAGCCGGTCTCCAGCGTCCTCTGCGCCCCTCCGCGGACCCGCCACCAACCTTCGCGCGGAGGGGGGGCAGTCCGCGCCCGACGCGCGCGGCCGCGGCGTTTCCATGACGACGACGTCGGGGGACCGCGGGTGGGGTCGGCCTGGGCGCATGCGCGCGCGTGCGGGTCGCGGTGCGTCTTCCCGAGTCGCCCGTGCTTCTGGTCGCGGTTCCGTGAACCGCGGTAAGGGTGGGGTGGGGTCCGCGAGGCCCAGGGCGGGGTGGGACCGGGCTGAGCGCAGCCCTAGCTCCCGGGACGCGTGAGTGGGGCTGGGCTGTGGGTCGCGGGCCGGGGTGGGCGGGGCCGGCGGCTTCGCTAGCGGACCGGTTCGGGGGTGCAGCCAGGGGCGCAGCGCCACTGACCGCCGCTCGCCGCAGGGCGGCCCGGGCTCCCTCCTTGGCCATGGCCCCCGCGCCCAGGTCCCTGTTGTCCCCGCCGACTTTGCTGCTGCTGCTGCTGCTGAGCCTAGCGCTGCTGGGCACCCGCGCCGAATCCGCCGCCGGGAGCGCTGTACCCGCGCAGAGTAAGTGCCGGCGGAGGGGGCGTGCGGGAGGCGTCTTTGTTCCCTGCGCGGTCACTTCTTCGGTGGGAACTGGAGGGCGGGCAATAGGGACCCGGATGCCTCTGGGTGCTTGGCTGTGACCTGCCTATGGTTCACCCTCACATGAACTGATTCGTGTCCCCGTAGGCCGTCCGTGCGTGGATTGCCACGCATTTGAATTCATGCAGCGAGCTCTTCAGGACCTACGGAAAACCGCCTACAGCCTGGACGCGCGGGTTAGTACACAAGGTCAGGGAGCTCTGGGTTTAATCTGTATCCCAAGACCTAGCTGCTTTAGGAGCCTGGGTGCAGGTCTCACCGGAAAGACTCCCCGATGCCCAGCGCACCGTCTGACCCTTCCCCAAGGTGTCAGGGCACTTTGTCCTATGACTTGTGTCCTCCAGGGATGTGTAGCCTAAAACCAGGATCTGAGTCCGGAATAAGAAGAGACTGGGGCAGGGCTTAGAGGCTATGGTGTGTGAGGAATGGAAAGCTAGGTTGGATCAGAGATCTGGGTGCGTGTCCTGGAGTCTTAGGTCCTCACCGGTTGGGTGAACTTGCATCTCTCAATTCCTGGGGCATAGCTGTAGGAGTTAACCTTCTTGTAAAGAGAATTTCTGGAAGCAGGCAGAAGGAAAGACTCCATCCGGAGTCAGCCCTTTTGGGATAGTCAGAAAGACACTCTCCGCACTGGTGCCTTGCAGTGAGCAGGCATCCACTCTTTTTTGTGGATTCTGGGTACGAGTGCATGATGGAGGTGCTCTGAGTATGGGTGGGAGTTGAAAGGTGGCTGGAGTGGTTATTCTGGCATGGGGATGAGTGTGAGGCGGGACCCCAGCAATGGGAGCTGCTATGGAGGGAATGGAGATGATAAGGCACCCAAGGGTGTGGAGAGGCAAGACGAGGATGCTTGGAAGGTCCAGAGGGCACCTGGGTGAAAGTGAAGGAGCCAGGAAGGCCTGGGAAGGTGTCCATTAAAAGCTCCATCCCAGAGGCTGGAGAGATGGCTCAGCCATTAAGAGCACTGGCTACTCTTCCAGAGGTTCCTAGTTCAATTCCCAGTACCCACATGGCTCACAACTGTCTGTAGCTCCATTCCCAGGAGCTCTGACACCCTCACACCAAAGTATATAAAGTAAAAGTTAAATAAATTACTAAAGGGGGGCTCTGTCCCAGCACGGGTGTGGGTGGCACACAGCCCTATTCCTAGGATTTGGGAAGCAGAGGCAGGCAGATCTCTGAGTATGAGGCCAGCCTACTCTAGAGAGTGGATTCCAGGACAGCCAGGGCTACACAGAGAAACCCTGTCTGATCCTCATGCTTCTGGTTCCTTTGCAGACGGAGACCCTCCTGTTGCAGGCCGAGCGCCGGGCTCTGTGTGCCTGCTGGCCAGCTGGACGCTGAAGATCCTTGGCCAGTGATGTTCCCTGTCAATAAATGCCTGCTAGCATGCCTGTGTCCTGTGTGCCTTCTCTGGCCACCAGAGCCACCCCTATTGCCCTATTAGGACACTCTGGGTCTTGGTTTCCCTGTTACAGGTGGTGGGAAGCTGTTTGGCACTGTCCAGAAGCACTCTGCTGAAGTGTGCTTGTCTGTCCATCCAAACAGTGCCCTGCAGGCACTGACACTGAAATGAATTGGCTGTCTTAGACCTGCCTCAACCAGCCTGCCCTTGTTTGGAGGCCAGGGGGTACTTGAGACTGGCCTGTCCCCTCTGAGTTCCCTAAGGGGCTCTCTGTACTGGGGTAGGCATAACTTCGTGGAAGCTGCTCTGGATCCCTAACCGGGAGCTTCTGGAGAGGGAGCAGACAGCAGGTCAGTGTACCTTCCAGGAGGGAGAGCTGGGGTGCTTTCATCTGCAGCCCCAAGCATGGCCCCTGGGTACCAAGGACTTCCCGGATGGGAGTCCATGGCCCCTGTCACACCTGCACATGTGTGTCAAATGCCTAGGAGGCAAGCCTCAGACAAAGTGAAGTTAAAGCCCCCACCCTTAAATCAAAGTAGGGTGTGCACACTTCCAGGGCAACATCGGGGCTGAGGTTTAAAACTGCCTCGCCCTAGGCACAGCACTGGCTCCATGCCCCACAAAGAGCTTCAGCAGCCCCCAGGGGGTTGTTGGAAGAGTGCTGAGACCAATGCTGGCTGTGCACCCTGAGCACTGCCCAGGTGTGTTGTACCAACAACGTTCCTGTTCTGGGGTCTCCCTGAGCAAAGGAGGAGAAAGCATACCCATGTCACATTGGTTGGTTTCAGTCCTGTCAGTTCCTAGCTTCAGGAGAGACCAGGAATGTAACCTTGTTCCAGGTGTAGCAAGTTGAATATAGAAACAATATTTTTTTCTCTTTAGGACCCTTTATACAGTGTTCATGGGATGTACTTATACTAAAGGTGTTGTTTACCCCAAATTCAAGATGAATTGTCCTGTATTTTATGGATGCTATTAGTCCTTGGAACAAATAGCCAAGAAAGTGTGGTGTTCTTTTGGGGCATGCCTATGCAATGAAGTAGGGGTGTCAGGCTAGGCTGGAGAGGCGGCTGCAGGTTGGTAGGCATGCTTCAGCCTATTGCAAGGGAGCTTGTCAGGTGAGCTGCTTTGGAGCTTTGTAGTGTCTTTGAAGTATGTGCACAGAAGACAACTGGGGAGATCACTGTCTCCTTCCACTATGGGTTCCAGGGTTTGAACTCAGTTTGTCGGGCTTGCTTGGCAGGCACTTTAAACCCCTGAGCCACCCCTCTGGCCTTATGAGACTCTGAGCCAGCAGATTGAACAGGGTCCTTGTCATTGCTAAAGACACCTGATGACTCTTGAGGAAAGTATGGGCCTTTGAGATGGTTACACCAGTCATGGATGGAGAACAGCTGGGGAGTGGCAGCACGAGAAGTGGTTGGATTCCAGATGTATTTGAAAAAATAGAGGTGGGGTATAGTGGCACATGTCTTTAGTCCTGGCTCTCAGGAGGAAGAGGCAGGCATATCTCTGAGTTCAAGGCCAGCCTGGTCTACATAGTGAGTTACAGGACAGCCAGGGCTATGTAGAGAGACCTCGACTTAAAAAAAAAAATGCAAGCAAATGAAAAAATAGATCCAAGAGGATTTGGGGAGGGGTCAGGTCAGTGCAGCTGCAAGGCTACTCCTGAACTGGCACCAGAGAAAGAAGGGTGAAACCTTTACTCTGTTGAGTTCTCTGAGCCTGAGTGTGAACAGAAGAGAGGAGCTAAGAAGACAGAGATAAGGTAAGGACCTCAGAGTAGAAGGAGAAGCCTTGAGGAAGGAAGGAAGCTGAAGCATGTTCTGGGTACTGTGAGGGTTTTAGGGAGAAGAAAGGGGGTGCTGTGGTTAAGCAAACACCAGGACTGTACCAACAGGTCTGGCATTTTTGGCCACTGGTAATCTTGACCAAAGATAGTCAAAATGGATCAGCTTGACTTGGGCTTCCTGGAAGGAGCAGAGATGAAGGGACCCAGCACAGACCCTGCGAAGAAGTGTAGACTCTCCTAAGTCCAATGACCTTTGCATTGCCCCGAAGCCATGGTGCAGCTTTCCTCTTTATCGTGGGCATATGGCATTTGGAATGACTAAACACAGCTCAGGACACGTTCAAGCATATGGTATGCATTGTCTTTCTGAGATACCTTTCCTTTTCTTGGATTTAGTGTGGGACTAACTAACTGCAGCTTCTTCCTCCTGGATACTTGTAGCCCAGGACTGATGGCCTGCAGACAAGCTCTTTTGGAGACTTAACTTCCTTCTGTGCTGAAGTTCCAGGTTATAGTGGTAGTGATTAAAGAACCTCACGTGACACCAGCCTCAGTGTGCAGGTGTCTGTGTACCTGTCCTTCATTCCCTTGCTACCCCTAGCCAGGGTCCTGGGACCCGAGCCTCCAGCTGCAGCACTGCTCAGCTTCTACTGTTCTGTTAGTCACCCGTTTCTATTTCCTCTATTCCCTGTACCTGTGTAGGAAGTTGTTGGGGGAAGGAAACTCTTGAGTTGGTCTGTCTGAAAGTACTTTTTGATTGTTTTGTTTTCAAGACACAGTTTTTCTGTGCAGCCAGCCCTGGCTGTCCTGGAACTCCCTCTGTAGATCAGGCTGTCCTTGAACTCAAGATTAAGATCCTCCTACCTCTGCTTCTGAGTGCTGGGATCAAAGAAGTGCTCCACTACGCCAGGCAGAAAATATTTTGTTGACACACTGTATTCACAATGTAACCCTCCCACCTCAAAGGCTTTGCATGTACTGTTTGCTCTCCAGAAAGTTACCCCCTTGGCCTTGGTGACTTGCCTCTGCCTCCCTGAAGGCTGGGATTGAGGACGTGCACCACCATGCCCAGCTTGCTCCTCCTTTTTTTGAGCCCTGTCTCTTGTAGCTCTGGCTGGCTACCTACTTGCTGTGTAGTTAAGGAGAGCCTTGAACTCCTGTCTCCACCCCTCTCATGCTGGTAGCCAGCACGCCGGTCCTCTCCATCAGTCTTCGCTTGTTTATTGGTTTGTCTTTGTAGGGTTGGTCCCTGAGGGGTACTAGACTGTCTTTCTTTTTATCGGCATATTTTCCTACCCTAGCCCAAATGTTTGAAGGAGATTGAATTGGTCATGCCCAGCACAGGCTAGGGACTTTCAATCTGTGTTTAGAGGAAGGATAAGTGATGGGGTGGGGTGGTTTCTGAGTGTCCACTTCGAAGCTGCACTGATGCACTAGATGCCTTAAGCATCTAGCTCTTTAGCAGTGATGCTCTGTTGGGATGGCTTTTCCAGGGAGGGCAGATGCTGAGCTTATCTGGAGATCTTTTTGCACTCAGGGTGCTGGGCAGGTTGAGTCTGGGACTCCAGGGTCTGTAGCCTGGGCATATCATTGCAGAATTCCCATTTTGTTCTTTGGGCTCTTCTGCTCTCTTAAAGGCTCTTGTGCCACCACCTTCCTGACCCCTCCGTCCCCCCCCCCCCCCCTCAGAGGCTTATATCTTTCAGCAGCCAGCCCAGGGCCATTTCCCAGGACTACCTTGGCTATGGATCTTTCCAGTGCCCACTCTTTATCTCTACTTTTGCGGCACCTGGCTCTTTCTTCGCCCCTCCCCCCACAGACCCTGGGGTAACCACGGCAGGCGCATCCCTAGAGGACACACCGTGGGTGGAGGGCTCCCCTACCTGTGAATGTTCAGGTGTAGGGTCCAGGCACCCAATCCCACTTCCCTCTCTGAAATCTTCACCCCTGCCAACCTGTAGGCAGGTGCTTGTGGTCCCCTGGAAGGAAGATTCAGCTGCAGGGCGTCAGGAAGCCAAATCGGGTTTCGAGAGTCTTCCTGGAGACCCAGGCAGGAGGGTTAGCGGCTCCAGGCTGGGTCTTCATTAAGGGGGACCTCGATGCCACCCCGGAATGATCTAAGTGATACCGGCAGAGGGCGCCCCACGATGGGAGGAGCTAGCAAGGGCCACTGACAGCCCGGTTGTCTGCGCAACTCCCACAGCACCCAGACTGTGAGCCTCCGAGCCCTTCTAACTGACCGTGCTTGTCCCAGCCCCTCTACACTTGCACACCGTTCTCCACCAAGCGCAGGCCTCCACCATGGCCATGAAGGGCACATAATTACAGGACTGGGGCAATGAAGGGCTTGGTCAGGCCGACCAGGGGAAGGGACCTCTGCAGAACTGAGAGGGCTGATGTGAATTGCTCCAGCTCAGGATGTGGTGTGAGGTCCTGTGGAAGTTACACCACTTTGTCACTTCTCAGGCTTCCGGGCCCCAGTGACCCTAAAGCCAAGAGTCCTGAGTCAGACCTACTCGGCTCCACCAAATGGGTCCTCGATGTCCAGCCTGAACTTTCCCCGGGGCCGCTCTGCTTGCCTGCCTTCACAGGCCTGGATTGTTCCCGCAGACCACCCCGCCAACCTCAGGACCCAGGACAGACCCAGTGTGGCTGGTCAGGGGCCTCAGCCTGTTCAGGTGGTGTCAGTGAGGGTTTTTTTGTTTGTTTGAAATTTTGAGAGATTTAGCTTCCGTGTTCTGGAAGGTTACAGCCAGGACCCAGATAAGCCCCGAGTCTTGAAAACACACTGAGGGAAATCCTTCTCATCCATCCATCACCCTTGCGCTGACGGTCCTGGGCGGCGGATTTTCCACATCCCACTCCCAGGTTCCGTTTGTACGTCAGGCCTCTTCAGCTTCGAGGTGACCTTAGCCTCTCCGCTGGCTCCAACTCCGGTGCCGCGTAAAGCAGACTGAGGGTCCTCAGGCCCGGAGACGTCAGAATCTCCGCCAAGCATGTGGGTGAACTCGGCTTTGGCGGTGCCCATCCCTGTGACCTAGGAAAAGAGGGTATCCTATCCGCTACGCGTTCCCTCAACCTGGGTGCTGCCCCCACCCCGTGCGCGCCCCGTCTGCTGCGTCTGCACGTCTCTCTCGCGGGTACGGTGAGACGCGGCTCAGAAACAGCCCCCTGCGCACCTGCACCAAGGCCACTGGGCGCATGCGCGGGCCGCGGAAGGCGGGGACCGAGCCGGGAGGGGTCCCGCAATCCCGCGTGCTTGCTGCCAGGAGCAGTCTGATGTCAGATTGGAGAGGGGTGGGGTTCGGCCCTGCGTCAGGCGGCGCGGGCATCAAACCCCGCTTCAGCCGAGTCCTCACTCCCGCAGGCCGGTCGGCCCGGCTCGCAGGGCGCCTGCCGGGGGAGCACGGCGGCCCTCACGAGGACTTCGGCAGGGCGCCGCGCTCAGACAAAAGGGTGGGAGGTGAAGACGGTTCCGTGACCGCCGCCGGAGGCCACAGAGGAGGAGGAGGACGCGTCGCTGCGGGCGCGGCGGCCCGGACGCGGCGGCGGCGGCGGCTTTGCGGGTGGGAGGCGTCCGCCCGCCGCGGCCCTCGGGGCGAGCCTCAAGCCCCCCAACAGCACGCCTCCCCGCGCACCTGTCCCCGCGGCCGGCCGCCCGCGCGCTCGGCGAGAAGCGCTTCCTCGCACGCCCGCCGCCCGACCGCGCTGCGCTCCCGCAGCCTGCTCGCCGCGCAGCCCAAGTGTGCCATCGGGCCGGCGCGGAGGCGGTGTCTGCTCCCACCCCCGAGATCACATGGTGACCCTCGGCAGCCAATGCAGTGGACGCTAGGACCCTGCGGGACCCCGGGCGCCGCGACTGCACCGGCGCCGCTGCATTATAAATACTTCTCCAAAATGCGGCGCAGCTCCCTGCGCGCGCCCCGGCCGCCCGCCGCCTCCGCCCTG